CCCAGACCAGCCCCAGTGGCTTGACAAACATGCTGGGTGAGTGTGCATGCATGCCCAAAATCCTTACAGGATGGAGAAATGGAGGGGGACTGTGATGTGAACACATCTCACTGGAGGATGTTTTCTCCCTTTCCCTCTCTCCATCTCCAGCAAGTACACACACACTTTGGAAATTAAAATAAGAAAAATGGAGCCAGCAGGTGGCATAGTGGTTAAAGCACTGGAATCCCACAAGGCTGACCCTGGTTCAAGTTCTGAACATGGCAGCTGAAAAATCATGCCAGGTGTGTGTGTTTGTGTACCCAAAATGTGGAGAGAATGAAGGTAAGGGATTGTGGTATGGCCATCCCTCCTAGGGGGTGATCTCTCACTTCCCTCTCTCTGGTGAGCTCATACACTCTATGGCAAAAATCTTTCAAAAAAAAAAAAAAAAAAAGACTAGGGCCAGCAGATGGCATAGAGGTTAAGGTGGCTGGATCCCATATGGCCAACTCTGAGGTTTAAGTCCTAGACTGGCAACTTGAAAGACATGCATGATACTTGTGTGTGTGTGTGCCCATCCAAAATCCCAAGAGGATAATAGAGAAGGGACTGCAGCATGGCCATTTCTCAATGGGAGCGGGGGTGACTTCTCACTTTCCCTCTTTTCTCTCTCTCTCTATCGTGAGCACATGCACTCTATGACAAAAAAAATCTTAAACAAACAAAAAAAAGTTTCCTAGGGTTTCCCAGTGACCTCATGGTTAGGGGAGATGGCACTCACATGGCTAGCCATGTGGTCCATCTTAGCCCTAGTGGCTTGAAAAATACATGAGGTGCATGTGCATATGAGCCCCAAATCCTAAAGGATGGAAAAACTTAGAAGGGAATGCAGCAGGACCAGCAGTTAGTGTAATGGGTATGTCGCTGGAGTCCCATGGGGCCAACCATGGTTTGCGTCCCGGATCCAGTGGCTTAAAACTCAATCCAGGAAAAAAAAAAAAAAAAACTCATTCCAGGCGTGTGTGCATGCGTGCCCAAGATCCCGAGAGGAGAATGGAGTAAAAGGGATTGTGGCATGGCCATCCCCCCTCCGGGGTGATTTCTCGCTTTCTGTTTCTCTGTCTCTCTCTGCCTGGCGAGCGCACATGTCCTATAGCAAAAACCTCTAAAAATAAAAAATAAAAAAAAAGAAGGGAATGCAGCATGGTGATGCCACGTTAGTAGATGCTTTCTCCCTCTCCCTCACACATGCCTTCTGGCAAATTAAAAAACAAACAATAGGGGCCAGCAGGTGCAGCAGGTGACGTGGTGGTTAAGGTGTTGGACTCCCCCCAGGGGGGATGGCCATGCTGCAATCCCTTCTCCTCCATTCTCTTCTTGGGATCCTGGGCACGCATGCACATGCACTCAGCGTGAGTCCAAGCCACCAGGTACGGGACTCAAACCACAGTCAACTACATGGGAGTCCAGTGACATAGCCATTACGCCAACTGCTGGTCCCAGACACTGGTTCAGTTCTGAAGCCAAACAGCATACTGGCCACATGCCTGTAATCTTAATGAATTGGTAGGCTGTGAAGGGGTCCTACTTGAAATGTATATGTTCATCTCTCTTCCTTTATCCCACTCTCGACTCTCTCTCATAAGGAAGAATATTATGGAAATTTTCAAATATACATAAAAGTAGAGAGAATAGCATAATTTTTCCCGTTATATCTATTATGCAACTTCAGTTAATAAGATATGGCCAGTATTGTTTAATTAATATACATCTCTAATGTGCTCTACTCATTGGATTCTTTTTTTGAATTATTTAATTTTATTTGTTATTTATATTATTATTATTATTACTTAATTTGTCCAGAGAGAGAAAGGGAAAGTGAGAGAGCAAGCTGCCTGGTCCACTACTCGAACCACAGTTGGCCATGTGGGAGTCCAGTGCTTTAACCACAATGCCACCTGCTGGCTCCCCCACTTAGAGTATTTTAAAATAAGGCATTGGCACTTCATTTAGGAAGCGTGCTTTCTATTATTTGTTCTTTTTGAAATATATATAGAGTTACTTGTTTAATTTTTTAATTATTTTAAAAATTTTGCTATAGGGCATATGTACTCGTCAGAGAAAAACAGAGAAAGAGAGAGAGAAGCAATTCACCAGGTCTACCCCTCAAATTGCAGCTGGCCATGTGGGAGTCCAACACCTTAACCACCTCCTCTGAGGATTTTGGGCATGCACGCACACACACGTGGTGTGATTTTCAAGCTGCTGGGTCATAGACTTGAACCACGCAGCCGGCCATGTGGGATTCGGCCTCCTTAACCACCACATCACAGGCTGCCGAACATCTAACTCATTCTTGAGAATCACAGCCCATTTGTCCCATCTCATTTTTCAAAATCTTCCTGTGATGGCTATCGTGCTCTCCAAACTCTAGGTAATTTGGCCTTCAAAAATACAGTGAAAGGGAACCAGCAGTTAGCGTAATGGCTGTCGCTGGATGTAGTCGACCGTGGTTTGCATCCTGGACTCGGTGTCTTCAAACTCACGCCGGGCGCACGTGCATGCGTGCCCAAGATCCCAAGAGGAGAATGGAGGAGAAGGGATTGCGGCATGACCATCCCCCCTAGGGGGTGATTTTTCGCTTTCTGTCTCTAATGTCTCTCTCTGTCTGTCTGGCGAGCACATGCGCCCTATACCGAAAATCTCTCCAAAAAAAAAAAATAATACAGTGAGAGTCCACTGAAGACTACAGAAGCAGTAATAAGAATGCCACCTCCCATAATAAATAGCAATATCCAAGTAAACACTAGAGAGTAGCATACAGTTCAGAGCATGAAAACCACACATAAAAGTAGTAAAAATTCATAGCATTCATTACCTGGGTATTCTGGAAGTAATGCTTCCAGAGAGGTCTTATTCTGTCTTGACCACCAACATCCCACACTGTGAAGCAAATGTTCTTGTATTCTACTGTTTCCACATTAAAGCCTACAAAGAATAAAATGAACACTGTACAATAATGAGCCGTGAAGTCATAAACCCATTGATTGCAGAATTCTTTTAGAATAGCTATCTAAAAGTCTAAGACAACCAAGTTAACAAAACGACTGTTTAAAATTAGATTGTATTCTGATATTTCACTTTATGTCACTATGATGTCATCTCTAAACTTTCTTACCAATGGTAGGAATGGTGGTAACGATCTCTCCTAACTTCAGTTTGTACAGAATAGTTGTCTTGCCAGCAGCATCCAATCCAACTAGAAAGACATTATAGACTTAAAATCTAGATCAAAAAGCACACGCTAAGAAAAAATTTTACAATAAAATCATAGTTGAAAGTAAAAGCTGACTGTTTAAGGCATGAATATGAGTTAGAAATGAAATTATCTCGCTTTTGATTCCCAAAGGCAACCAACCAATTGTACAGAAAAAGCCTTTCCATTTTTCTTTCTCAATCTAGAGAGACATCTTTTTTTTTTTTTCTTTTGGAGACTTTTTCGCTATAGGGCACGTGCGCTTGCCAGACAGACACAGAGAGACATAGAGACAGAAAGCAAGAAATCACCCCTCAGGGGGGATGGCTGCAATCCCTTCTCCTCCATTCTCCTCTTGGGATCTTGGGCATGCACGCACATGCACCTGGCGTGAGTTTTACGCCATCGGGTCCGGGACACGAACCACGGTTGACTACGTGGGAGTCCAGCGACACAGCCATTACGCTAACTGCTGGTTCCCTAGAGAGACATCATTTAATAGTAAAAACAAAACAAAACAAAAAACAGTATCTGGCTAACTGAGGCTCTAATCTCTAGTTCTGCCACAAACCAATTAAGTACCGCTATGTAGATTGCTGTAGAAAACTGAGGCCAAAGAAGTTCACCATAAAATAATGGGATTGATGGGACCAGCAGTTAGCGTAATGGCTATGTGGCTGGACTCCCATGTAGTCGACCGCGGTTCGCGTCCCAGACTCAGTGACTTAAACTCACACCAGGTGTGTGTGCGTGCATGCCCCAGATCCCGAGAGGAGAATGGAGGAGAAGGAATTGCGGCGTGGCCATCTCCCCTGGGGGGGGATTTCTCGCTTTCTCGCCTTCTATGTCTCTGTCTCTCTCTGTCTGCCTGGCGCGGGGGGTGGACGTGTTCCTGAAAAAAAAACCCCCCCAAAAAAAAAAAAAAAAAAAAAAATATATATAAAAAATGGGATTGGATAATCTTTCTTTCACTTCAAGTCCTAATGAAGTCTTTTAAGTATCACCACTTTTAAAAACACAAAGCAATTGAATAAGAGAGCACAGGAGCACAAGTGAATAAAGATTACCTTAAGACTCAGGGGCCAGCAGGTCGCATACTATTTAAGGTGCTGGACTCCCACATGGGCAAACTGCAGTTCGAATCCTGGACCCCACAGATTGAAATTCATGCTGAGCGAGTGCTGCCCAAAATCCCAAGAAGAAAATGAAGGAGAAGGGACAGTTATTTGACCTTCCTCCCTCAGGGGTGATTTCTTGCTTTCTGTCTCTCTTTCTTTCTTTGTCTCTCTGGCAAGCACACATGCCCTACACCAAAAATTTCAGGGAAAAAAAATTCATAAACGAGGGGCCACCAGGTGGTGTGGTGGCTAAGGTGCTGGATCCCATATAGCTGACTCCATGGTTCAAGTCCAGACCCAGTGGCTTGAAAAACAGGCCAGGCACATTTGCATGTACACCCAAAATCACCAGAGAAGAAGGGACTGCACAAATGCAGAAAGTTAAATACTTGTCTTTTTCCAATTTTTTCCAATCATCATTTGGCAGACAGGGAAGTGCCTCTCCAATATAGTGATACAGAAAAATGCTTATGACATGCTTCTGCTTTTCTTCCCCATCTGAAACTTGTAGCCATCATAAAAGACTAAGGACATAAAAAACAGCAAATCATTTACTATAAATCTTTAATGAAAAGACCTATATACATTTTTTAAATAATTATTTTATTATTCTTTCTCTCTTTCTTTTAATTTTGACCAGAGAGGGAGGGAGGGAGGGAGGGAGAGAGAGAGAAAGAGAGAAAGAGAAAGTGAGAAAGCAAGCTACCAGGTCCAGAACTCAAACTGTGGTTGGCCATGAGAGTCCAGCACTTTTTTTTTTTTTTAAAGGTTTTTGCTATAGGGTGCATGTGCTCACCAGAAAGACAGAGAGAAACAGAGAGGCAGAAAGCAAGAAGTCACCCCCTAGGGGGGATGGCCACACAGCAATTCCTTCTCCTCCATTCTCCTCTCAGGATCTTGGGCACTCACGCACATGTGCTCGGCATGAGTTTAAGTCACAGGGTCCAGAACTTGAACCACGGTCGACTAACATGAGAGTCCAGTGACATAGCCATTACGCCAACTGCTGGTCCCCCAGCACTCTTAACCATCATGCCACCTGCTGGCCCCAACCTATATATTTTCATGAATACAATCATGTACAGGTTAATTTCTTTAAAGAATAGATTGGACATTTATTTATCACAAAGATTGTTTTTCTAACTGCCAATTTTCAGCTATATAAACCTTAAACGACACGCTTGTCCTCCTAAAATAATTCTGTCCTCTTCATAAAGGAAATGTGAGAAACTCTGAGAAGTATTTTGATTTATCCTTTTGAATGAATGAATGCTTTTATGAATTGTAAAGAAATTGAATTAATAGTAAAGTGAAGCACAAACCTATGTGTATACTCTACCTCTTTATAAACCTTGTAATATTACAGAAGCTGCTTTTGAAAACTTTTGATAGTACAGTTTCAAAATAAAGCCTTTTGGGAACCAGCAGTTAGCGTAATGGCTATGTTGCTGGACTCCCACGTAGTTGACCGCGGTTCGCATCCCGGACCCGGTGGCTTAAAACTCACGCCGGGCGCATGTGTGTGCGTGCCCAAAATCCCGAGAGGAGAATGGAGGAGAAGGGATTGCGGCATGACCATCCCCCCTGGGGGGTGATTTCTTGCTTTCTATCTCTATGTCTCTCTCTGTCTGTCTGGTGAGCGCACGCGCCCTATAGCAAAAACCTCTCAAATAAATAAATAAATAAATAAATAAAGAAAGCCTTTTCCCCACTCTAGAACACAAGTTAATGAACCAACAAGTTTCAGTGTTTGAAGTGGGACTCCTTTCAGTAATATGCAGATCCATGGCGCTCAGCTGTGATGTAGAGACTGCTCATAGTACTATCAGGCAGGGATTGCTTATATCTCCCACATGACATACTCTTCTGCAGTTGAGCAAACAAAGTGCCCCCTGAAAAGCAGCTTCTAGGGGACCAGCAGTTGGTGTAATGACTATGTTGCTGGACTCCCATGTAGTCGACTATGGTTCAAGTCCCAGACCCGGTGGCTTAAACTCACACTGGGCATGTGTGCATGTGTGCCCAAGATCCCTAGAGGAGAAGGGAAGAGAAGCAATTGCCACATGGCCATTCCCCCTGGAGGGTGACTTCTTGCTTTCTGTCTCCCTTTCTCTCATCTTTCTGGTGATAGCACATGCCCTATTGCAAAAAACCTCTAAAAAAATAAAAAGGAAGAAAGAAAAGTAGCTTCTAAAAGAATTTCAAAAATCAACTTTGTTGGGACCAGCAGTTAGCGTAATGGCTATGTTGTTGGACTCCCATGTAGTTGACCACGGTTCACATCCCGGACCCGGTGGCTTACAACTCATGCCGGGCGCGTGTGCGTGCGTGCGCAAGATCCCGAGAGGAGAATGGAGAAGGGATTGAGGCATGGCCATCCCCCCTGGGGGGTGATTTCTCCTTTTCTGTCTGTCTGGTGAGCGCAAGCGCCTTATAGCAAAAACCTCTACAAAGAAAAAAAAATCAACTTTGTTGTTACTATTTAACAATGCTACCCTAAAATGAAGCATCATGACATTTTCAGCTACTAAAAAATTATGTTTTTAAAAAAAGAATTATTTTATATATTATTATTATTAAATTTGCTATGCTGTATGTGCACTCACCAGAGAGAGAGAGAAAAAAAAAAAGAGAGAGAGAGAAAGTAAGCTGCCGGGTCTGGGATTCAACGGGCAGTAAACAATGTGGGAGTCCAGGGGCTCAACCAACAAACCACTTGCTGGCTCCGATTTATCAAGTTTTCTTTTTCTTTTTTTTTAAAATTACCTCCTAAAAGTTTTGGGCATTGCATTTTAGATCAGGTGGATAAAAACAAGATTGAAAACCAAAGAATAAATCTAATATATTGGAGTTCTTAAAAACAGCAGACACATGATAAACTCAGTTTTTAGGAAATAAGCTTATTAACGAAGAAAAATTCGAGGTGGAATTAGTGCGAGGAAGTTTAGCAGAGCGAGCTTTGAGCACTCCAGCCGTTTTGTGAGCCTCCTCACCATGTACTGGCCATGTACTGGCCATGCACAGGCCAGCTCCGAACTCTAGGCAGCTGCGTACTCCCAAACCAATGGACTTTGCAGGGTACATGAAGCGGAAAGAGGGTGGAGAAAGGTTAGAGTCGCTCTGCCTCCCTTCAGACCTCTGGTCAAATGGAAGGAATAGAGGATGCAGATCGCAACCCTCCGAAAGGGCCACATGTCTGCTCCCGAGATTTCGCTTTCTCAGTATCTCCGCCCAAGCTTATCCGGCTTCCAATAAAATAAAAAAGAAAGCCTAGCCCACAAAGAGAAAACCTTGCTCGAGGCCCTGTCCTGAGCGCTTCAACCTTCACTACACTGTTTCCCGGTTAGGATTCTTTTCAACCCCAGGCCACTCTCCCGCCACGGCCCTCCGAGGAAAACACACGCCCCAAAGCAGCGCAGAGACCTGGCCTTCCTCCATCCCCACTGGTGCCCCGCCCCGCGGTCCCTCACCCATCAAAATGCGCATCTGCTTCTTGCCAAAGAGTCGAGAAAAGAGGGAGGAGATGGTGAGGCCCATGACAGTAGTGGCACTTGCGATAGGCAGCGGCAGAAATGGCTTGGGGCGTTCCCAAGTCTTTCACGCTTCCCTTAAGCTGAGCGAAAGGAAAGAGAAAGAGCTGAAGGTGGGCGGCAGTTACGGCTCGCTGGCGGGTGTACGGAATGGCGCTCCGGGACAGCACTTAGCGGGGCAAGGAACTGCTGGTTGGCGACTGGCGCGACAGGTCCAACTCTATCGTTAAGGCTCGGGTCGTGCCACGCCTCACGGTTACCGCTGCCACTCTAGGGACCACCCGCCCCTTCGACGCGGACGAAACCGTCACAACCTCCCCATTCCCCAGCGCTTCCGGCGTTCCCGGAGTCACTGCGCCTGCGCACCTACGAAATTCACTAGTGCCACTTACGTCATCTCTAGCAGCCACGGCCTTCCGGACTTGGCTTCGGAAGCTGAGCAAGGCCGGTAGGCACTTGCGTATTAGGAGACGAGGTCCCACAATGCCTCGCTTGGTCTTTGCCGACAGACTAGAGGCAAGTAGGGGCCCTGCTTCAGGAAAGGCTGGCTGCGCGTCTTGGGTTAGGTAGTGAACGTCAGTTTCTTCTGCCCTTTGGCGGGGGTTGGTCCTTCTCTTGAATACGAAGCTCGCTGGAAATACCCAGTCCCAGGAAGCTGCAAGTTTCACGAACGGGATCGATCGCGTGCCCTAGTGAAGGGTTGAAGACCAGCCCTGTCTTTCTTGGAGATGGTTAAAAGCGTGCACACGTAGAGACTGTGGAAAGCAGTTGTGGAGCTAGACCTAAATGCTTAGACCCCCTGGCCAGGTGGTACTGAAGTCCCTAGTCCTAGCTCAAGACAGCATTTTCATCGGCTGTTGTCATTGATTTGCTTTATTTTCTTTGCTAGAGGGCTCACCAAAGAAATAGAGAGGTAGAAAGTACCACCCCCATCCATTTTGGGGAATGGTCATGTGAGGATCCCTTTTCCTCTTTAGATACTCAGACACAAGTACCTGCACCTGGTCTAAGACTTGAACAATGGGTCAGTCTTGGAGGATCCCACTGCCTCAGCCGTCAAGCCCTGGAACTGGCCAAGCTATTGCCATTTAAAGAAAAGGCATGGTTGTTAAGGCTCTGGGTTCCCACATGGCTGACCGAGTGTCAGAACTGGCGGCTTGCTGCCCCCCTCCCCCGCCAAACGAAATAACAAGGATAGTGAATAAAAATAAGATTATTAAAACAAAAACAGGTCAACTAGCAGGGCTTGATTTTTCTGTTTCCTATACGTTTTTTTTTGTCCTAGAAGAAGCACGAATGATTTATTCCCTAGGTTCAAGTTGGGAAGTGGCCTCACTTTTTCAAATTTTTTTTTCAATTTTTTTATTTTTAAGAGGTTTTTGCCTTAGGGTGAGTGTACTGACGAGGAGAGACAGACAGTGAAAAGGAGAGTGAGAAATCACTCCCCGGGGGTATGGATACACGGCAATCCTGTGTCCATTCTCGTGAGATCTTGGGCGTGCACATGCACCCAGTGATTTTCAAGCCACCTGGTCCAGGACTTGAAGTGCAGTCAGCCATAGCCTCCTTCACTTTAAAAATATTTATGACCGGGACCAGCAGTTAGCGTAATGGCTATGTTGCTGGACTCCCATGTAGTCGACTGTGGTGCGCGTCCTGGACCCGATGGCTTAAAACTCATGTCGGGCACATGTGCGTGCGTGCCCAAGATCCTGAGAGGAGAATGGAGGAGAAGGGATTGCGGTGTGGCCATCCCCCCTGGGGAGGTGATTTCTCGCTTTCTGTCTCTCTGTCTC